GGACAAGAGATGGACCAGGAGTTAGGGCCAGTTTTCTCCATCGAATGGGCAGCATTCCCTACATGACACCTGCTATTTAAGAAAAAGTAAAAGCAGCCCGAATACCTGGGCAGACTGTCTGTGGGGGCACGTGGGGTGCTGGGGCTGGGCTGTGCCATGAGGGGGGTGCTGTCGGCAGGTGTGTGAATGCCGAGCCCGGGAAGAAAGGAGGATTCCTTCCTCCCTTGGGGTCGCCCTCTACCCGGCCAGGTCTGTGCAGCCAAAGGAGCTCGTACCTTCGCCCCTGCGTCGAGCGTCGTGTGGGATCCCCTCCGAGGGGCACACGTGTAGGGGAGCTCAGGTGGCTGGTGGTGCAGTGGAAACACACCTCGTTACCACGCGGACAGGGACCTGTCCCGTGAGCGAAGTGCTGGAGACCAGGTGGGAGCCACGGGAACGCTCGGCGTCGAACGGACGAGAAGCCGTGACTTGGAAGGGCCGGGAGACTGTGTGGTGGCCAGAGGGACGCTCGGCGTCGAACGGACGAGAAGTCGTGACTTGGAAGGGCCGGGAGACTGTGTGGTGGCCAGGGGGACGCTCGGCGTCGAACGGACGAGAAGTCGTGACTTGGAAGGGCCGGGAGACTGTGTGGTGGCCAGAGGGACGCTCGGCGTCGAACGGACGAGAAGTCGTGACTTGAAGGGCCAGCTGTTTGCTGGGTATGAAACTGTCAGATGACAGAACTTGTTACTGGGGCAGGGTCGTGATTCAGCGTGGACGTGCCAAGTTCAGCAGAGGTCGGTAGCCCAGCAGGGCCAGGCCAGGCCCACCCCACAGGCCCCGGGAAGCAGGCGTCCTGGTCTGCGCTCGAGGGCGGAGCCTCGTCCGCCTGCTGCCTGGCGTGCAGCACAGAAGCCCCGAGCTCCCCCCCGAGCTCCCCCCGTCACCTGCAGAGAACCTGCGGCCTCGGGAGCTGCTCTCAGGACCCGACGGCTTCGAGAGCCAGGGCCTGAGATCGCCCCCTTCCAGGTGGGCGGGGTGCCCACCGCCGGCCCCCAGCAGCCACCTGCTGGCCCGGGAGCTGGCGCATTATTTCCGCGTCTCGTGACCCTCGAAAGCAGCACCTGTGGGTCCCCTTTTCTAGCCCGCGGTTTTGAGAGGACATCTATTCAGATCACCCCGGGGAAGAGGCGGAAAATAGCCTGCTCGGAGATTTGCAGCGACACATTCTGAAGCTGTGGGGAAGATGTGGTCTATACATATGTTTAAAATCCCCGGGAAAAAACAAATAAACCAGGTCGATCGGAGAAAGGGCTTCGCTACCATAACCCTTGGACCTTTAGTGCCACGAGACTCCCGTCCACCCTGGTCTGAGGACACCACAGGCCTCTGGGAGCATCCGGTCCCTCCACCAGGTTCTGACCAGCTCAGCAACAGCACAGCACCCGGCCTCCACGCAGCCTGTCACAGCTGCTGCCAGGGGCACAGACAGCCGCCCTACCTCGGCCTCCTGCGTGCGTGCACACACACAGACACGCACACACACAGACACACACACAGACACACACAGAGAGACACACACACCCAGACACACACACAGACACGCATGCAGAGACACACACACAGACACACACGCAGAGACACACACACAGACACACACGCAGAGACACACACACAGACACACACGCAGAGACACACACACACAGACACACATGCAGAGACACACGCAGACACACACGCAGACACACACACACAGACACACACACATGCACACACAGACACACACGCAGAGACACACACACACAGACACACATGCAGAGACACACACACAGACACACACGCAGACACACACACAGACACACACACAGACACACACAGACGCACACACAGACATACACACACACAGACACACACGTAGACACACACACAGACACACGCACAGACACAGATACACACAGACACACACAGACACACACATACAGAGACACACACACAAACACCGAGATACACAGAGAAACACACAGACACACATAGAGACACACACACTCAGAGATACACAGAGACACACACATAGACACACACACACAGCCTGAAGCCATCAAAAGCATCAGAGAAAGGTGTTACTTTTCATGTTCAAACTAATTTCTTTCTACGTTAGTTTCCTACACATTTGAACTTGAGAAACAGAAACAAACAAAAACGCAGGCAGAGGCTGTCGGCCACTCAGGGTTCGAGCAGTGTAGTGTCGTTGTCCCCAGACACTTCCTACCCCATCAAGTCGCTGACCTTCGAAACCACAGGACCGTCCACAGCTGACCGTCCGCTCCCATCTCGCACCCAGAATCCCACGGGCCTCGCCCGGCGGGCACGCAGACCACAGTATGTGGACTTGGGCGACGGGGTCCAGACACGCCACACGGGCTCCTTCAGACGGCGCTTCCTGCCGGTGACGCGGGTGGGGACCGCTGTCCGCCTGCGCTGTCCTGAGGTGGCCGCGTGAGCAGGCCAGACGACAGGAAGCAGGCGGGTGAACAGGGCACCGTCGGGGGCTGGGGGTGGCCCTCGGGCAGCAGCCGGAAAAGGTCCCCGCTCGCATTGCAAGACATGAGAAGACACGACGTGCGTGGATTCTCTGGAAACAGTCACGTCTGCACGAAAAGCTCCTGAGAGTTAACGCCCCTCTGCCGTCCAGACCGTGCAGAACGCTCACCTCAGAGGCGCCGGGCGAGCACTGGTTTAGGCCTCGCGGCCTCAGGCAGGGGCCGAGGACCCGGGAGCACGGGCAGAGGAGGCGGGTGACTGGGAACAGCTCGCTGCGTCCACTCGCTGGCTGGGCAAGCCGGGCGTGGGGAAGCACAGGCCTGGAACCCACGCGTGTGCACGGAAATCTGAGATGATGCGTGTATTTTACTCGGATCCTGCCGACAGATGGGGTCAAACGAGCAGCGCAGCCAAGCTGCCGGCTCTGTCTTTGCACAGCCACAGGCTCGTTGTGGCCGCTCTGCCCGACTTTGACGAGGACGGCAGGGCTCCCTCTCTGCAGACGCTCCTCCAGCGGCAGTGAGTTGTCCTTGGCAGGCGCTGGCCCCGCCCTGTGCGGTGACTCCCCGAGCGAACACTCTGAGCTGTGTCCCGTGTCCAGCTGGCTGGCACGCTCGAGCCTACGCTGTCCCTACATAAGCAGTGACTCCATGTGAGGTCACGGCCCGCAGGCTCCTGAGAGCACAGGCTCCGTGGAGGCCGGCAAGCGGCGGAGGCTGCTGTGCGGGAGAGGGGGCCGTGGGCTGTGGTGTGAGGGCTGTGCCTCGCAGGATGGCAGCTTCTTTGACAGCAGGAGGCAGGACCCGTGTGGCTTCTGAGAAGGCCTGGGAAGGACAGAGGTCTGCGTGGGCATCTCCCGAAGCCGCAGGCGGAGTGATCCTGGGGACCGCCGGCTGTTTCCCTGCATTTCACAGGGGAGCCCGGCTATTGGGGGGTTCTCTCTTAGGGGCGGCCATGCCGTTCCTTGGCACGCCTGGGAAAGCCGGGCTGTTTCGGCACGATGCAGTTCTGATTTCCACACACCCCTTCTCGTGATGCAAGTCCACTTCTTCGTAATGCGTCCTCTCGTTTTCCTTCCGATCCCGTCCCATTCCCCACTTCTGTTTGCCCTTTTCCCCCCAGAAATAGCTCTGAAGTACAGGCACTAGCCATGCGGCGACACGAGACAGACCAACGACTGGTGATCGACCTGATTCCCACCACTAGGTCTTCTCCAGAGTCTCCCTGGACCCTGCCGCGTAGGCTCGGACAGATGCAGGGACAGAGACAGACAGAAGGACGCTCGGGGGGGAGATGCAGACAGAGCTGCGGTGCCCTCCTCCGACCCCCTCCCGCCCCAACCCCAGCAGCACGGCATCTCTGCAGATAAAGCTGAGGGCGCCCCCACTGTGGACTGGAGGTCCCCTCTGGGGACCTGTGCCCCCCGCCGCCGTCCACCCCATGGCGAGAGTCGGCAGAGCGAACTCACTTCTCTGACTTCAGAAGTACATTCGACTCGTTATGGGTGTTGAAGACGCCTGAAGCTTCTCTGTGCCGTCGGTCTTGGGTTCTAGGAAGAACATGTATCATTTTCTAGTGAAGAATTAGGTGCTGCTTTACTGCATTTGGGGGGAAATGATCAAATTTGCAGAAAGAATGACCCGGTCCAGCCCCATGGAGGGCACACCGGCCGCACCGTCTCCTCTGCTCGCTGCTTGGCCCCAAGGCCGCTTCCTGCACGAAGCCTTTACCTGGACAGGTGCTTTCCTCCCTCAGTCCACGCCCCCCTTGGGGGTCCTCAGGGTAACGGGGTGGGGTGGTCCCTGGGGGTTGGGGCTGGCTGTGCACACCTGCCCTGAATCACCTATCCCGTGGCGTCTGCCTTCGGCCCAGAGATGTTCTCCTGGGGTCCGCCGGCCACAGGTGCTTCTGGGCCTGGAGCTGTGGCCTCCCCCACTCCTCCCGGGGGCCAGGGTGTGGGTCGGAGACCGATTGCCCCCACCAAGGCCACTGTCCTCTGCGAGCCGGGCTCCGGCAACCACTGGAGTCCCCGCTGCACCCTAATCAGAGACACACCCACAGCCTCTTCCTCTCTTTCTCCCAAGGGAAGAGTCCACGAGAAGTGGTCTTCTTGAGGAGTCCCGTGGCCCCGTGGCTGTGGCCCTCTCCGTCCATGACTCTGCCCCTCCAGGGCCTGGGCTGTTCCCACCCCAGCCTCGCTCCCCGAGGAGTCCCACCGTTTTCCGATGTGTGTTCAGTGACCCGGATACCGGGGCTGCAGCCAACGTGGACTCGAATGACGATAACAGGAGACTCGGTGTCCAAGGACATGCACGCAGACCACATCGGTGTACCGCTCAGCGTTCCCACGAGCCACCCAAAGACCCAACACACAAACTCCCCAGTAGTCAAGCGACGTCTCTCTCCATGACGGGGAAAATCTGTTATACTCTGTGAGTTCTGTGAAATGTGATAACATGTCCATACTCCGTTTTGTTTAGGTTGTCCTGGAGCCAAAAAAAATGAGTTTCTCACGAGCGTCCTGGACGCGCTGTCCACCGACATGGTCCACGCTGTGTCCGGCCCCTCCTCCCCCGGCAGGTACGGTGTCGCCCGCGGAGCTGGTGCTGGGAAGAACCCAGGAACGGGCTGGGAGCCGGTCAGCGCGCCTGGAGCCACGGGGTTCCCGAGAGGAGGCCTCTTCCCAACAGGAAGGGGCTTCCTGGGTTTGGGGGTGACTCCTTTAGTGGGTTTTTGTCACGTGATTAAATCACTGGAGACGTTCCGTTGCGGTGACACAGGGCACTTTCCGTGGTCCCCGGGGGAGGGAGAAGGAAGGGTCAGTTCTAGTCCCGATGGATTTACTCTTTGAAACTGCATTTGAGAGAGGATTGGATTTTAGTTACTGTGTATGAAAGTGTAGGCATCGTGGGAAAACACGTATCACGTAAAACGTACCATCTTAACTTCGAAGGGCACGATTCCGTATCCGTTACCTGATGCTGTTCAGTCAAACCCTGGAACTGGCCAGGTTCCCTCCGAGCCCGGGAGACACACCCGGCTTCTCACGTCCTGCGAGAGTCTGTCCGTCCTGTTCTGTCCCTCAAGGCCGGAGGGAGGGCAGCTTCCGGTGTCCTGGCTGTGGGGTCCATGGGGTCCCCCAGAGGATCATCAAACTGACCCCTTCATTTGAAGGACGTTTTCTGATGGAGAACCACACCACCAGCTCAGTCCTCTGCCCACCCCACCCCCCACGGGGTCCTGTGGCCTGAATGACCCCGACTCTCCGTCTCCTTCGCTGAAACACTCCTTGTTCTGCCTCTCCGCTTGGCGGTGAGCTTCACGGAAGAGAGAGAGAGACTGGAAATGGTTATAATCAGGTAGTGAATTAAACTGAAAATGGCAAAACATCACCTACATTTCCATCCGACGTCTCCTGTTCTTGGGGAGACGCTCTGACCGGGAAAACCAAAACCGAAAGCAGTGGGCAAAGTGCCGTCGGGGTGCACAGGGAGCCTCAAACCTGCCCAGTGTGAGCCCCCGGCCACGAAGGAAGAGCTGAACGTCCCTCACCTCCCACTTGGTGACGAGGCTCAGACTTGACACAGCTTCAGCCCCTGACTCACACCAGGCCTCTCGGAGAGGTTGGATGGATTCATGTTAAATCCAGTCTCTCGTTCAAGGGGACGAGTCCAGTCACCACGCGAAGCTGCACCTCGATGCGCACCATGCGCTGTACCCGGGACGTAGGCGACAGCACCACGGCATTAACACTGGGGCCCCGTGTCTTCAGGGGGCCCCACCGGGAGCTGACCTGCCCCACCCACAGAGCGCATACCGGGGACAAGGGCACCGTGTCCTCAAGGACGTGGCGCAAAATCGCTGTCGTTTTCAATGTTGAAACCAACTTCAAAAACATTTGCTGATCCTTTTCTCTAAAGTATGATTATTATAGAAACAGAGGAAGGGGGGCATCCGTCAGCTGACTCCTGCACCCCACGGGAATCAAGCCCACAGCCTGTCAGGGCACCCAACCAGCGGAGCCGCCCTCCAGGGCTGTCTGAATTCTTTACACAAACCGCCCGTCAAAGGGCCCATCCCCCCAGGGCAGGCACCCCGAGGGAACCGGGGGAGGGCCCTCCCTGGGCGGAGCGGGAGGTGCGGCCGCCCCTGATCCTGTGTTCTCCCCTGTCTTCCAGGCTTTCCGAACCCGACCCCAGCCACACGCTGGAGGAGAGAGTGGTCCACTGGTATTTCAAACTGCTGGACAAAAACTCCAGCGGGGACATCGGTAAGAAGGAGATGAAGCCCTTCAAGAGGTTCCTTCGGAAAAAGTCCAAACCCAAGAAGTGTGTGAAGAGGTTCGTGGAGTACTGCGACACCAGCAAGGACAAGGCCCTGTCGCTGAGCGAGCTGATGGGCTGCCTGGACGTCACCAAGGAGGAACACAGGGCCAGCGGCAGGAAGCGGCACAGTGAGCCCCCCACCCCGCCCCCGTCCGTGGTTGTCGAAGGTTGGGGGGACGGGGTCTGTCCTGGGGCAGCGGCAGGACCCTGGGATCCCGGGCAGAGGATGGGTCGAAAGGGGGGAGGGGGACTCTGGATCAAGCCATTCACCATCCCCCTGTGGGGGCCGACTGTCACGCGGTGTCGGCTCCGATGTTTTCGGTTGGATCTCGGGAACCGTGGCTTTAGCGGCTTCGTGAACAGTTGAGAGCAAGTTGTAGGTGGGCCCGGCCTAGGCAGACAAGTGTCCCAGAGAGAAAGTCGTCTGGCTCGGGGTCCCAGACGTTCCCAGCAGGGAGCAGGCTCCTGTGGACGCTGGGAAAGCCCTCCCCTCGGGGCGGGGTCCTGTCTTCTCCTGTGTACAGGAGCCTGTGCGGGGAGGGCTGAGGTTGTCCCCCTGCTGCCTCCGCTGTGGGCCAGCGTCGCCTTCGAGGGCACATTCGAACGGGACCCGTGTGGAGGTTCTGGGCCCCTGGGCCCTGTGACTCGGGGTCTGAGCCGTGGAGCCCACTGGGCTGACCCGCCGGGTTCTGGAGGCAGCCAGTGCCCACCACCGGTCTCTGCCCCGTACCCGTCGCGAGGGTCCCTCAACATGGTCCCACTGAATTGCGTTCCAGGCTGGGCCCCGGTGATTGTAAAACGTTCTTGCTCATTTCCTGGCGAGAAGTCCACCGTGAGCTTTATTTTGACGACTTCTATGTCGGGGCTCTGCCGATACCTGTAGCTCATGTCATCCTGAAAGTGTCCAGACTGGGGACCAAGGGCAAAACTGTGGGCCCGCCCCCTCTGCTCACCCTCACCAAGGGGGTGTTGAGGCCACCTTGCGGCAGGGGCAGCCTTGAGCCTCTGTCCTGCTCCCTGATTGGTCAGCCCGAGAACCCTGTAGCCAAGGGGACTTTGTGGGTGTCTGCGGGCACGAGAGGGTTAGGGAAGGAGGACAGGACGGGATGCTGGGCAGGTGCTGTCCGACGGAGGCTGGGGGGCTCTGACCATGGTGGGGACAGTCTAGTGAATGAACACCATCACTGCCCACCTTGGTAGCCGAGGTCAGGAGTCACCGGCCACCTTCCACGGGTCAGCTGCATCTCCAGGGGCCACAGCCCAGTGCACGGTGCTGGCTTGTGCTCCCCATGGCTCTGGGGTGAGCCATCCGCTCCAGGCTGGGTGACCCCACCGCTTCTCTGGGGCTGGAGCCGAGGGGGAGCTGTTTACATGCAGGAGACAGAGCCCAGGGCCCAGGGCCCACAGGTTCCTGGGGGAGCCGGTGCCCTGAGGTGGTTCAGACGCGTCCTCTCGCATCAGGGGTGCATCCTAACAGGGCCGGAGGCTCTGCGCACCCCAAGCGGCAGCAGGGTAGGAGCGCCAACCCGTTGCTGGGAAGAGGGGTGCAGGGCAGAGGACGGCAGGGTCTCGACGAGGTTGTCGCTCACCGGAAATGCTCCTTCCTGTGGGAGCTCCGGCCGCCTTCCGCAGGGCCCGGCGGATGAGCCTCTGAACCTTGTGCTCTCACCGGGAAGGTTGTCGGCGACCCTGTGTCCAGAGTGCGCGAGGGCCGTGCACGGCGGGCATGTCGTCCGAGAGGAGCCTCGGCCCTGGACGCACAGCGGAGTTTCTGGAACGTTTCTTTCCCCTGCAGACCTTTCCTAGGTTGTTCCGACTTTATTCATCTGTTCAGTTTGAGATCAGTTACTTTTTCCTGCCGTGTGATCTGAATCAGGGGGAGTCAGGAAAACCTCAGTGTCCAGGACAGTCCTCAGTGGGATTTTCTAAGCACCCAGGCGTCCGCTCTCTTTAGTTCTCGTTATGTTTGCTCACCAGTAACGAGGCACCTTTATTCTAAAAGTAGGAGGACTCAAGGGACATAAATAACCCCTGACCTATTTCTTCTCAGCCAGTCAGACCCAGATCCGTATTCACCCCAAAACATCTCTGCTGCCCAGTGACACCTGTGCCCGGTACTTCACCTCCGAAGGGCAGCACACGCGTCCCTTCCAATCCCATGTGTTTTGATCACACACGATTTTGCGTTTCAGTGGCTGCAACAAAGATAAAGCAATGGAACGTTTGATCTACACTTTCGCTATTAGAAAAAACTCAAAACTGAGAAAATTAACTAAAAACTGTTAGGGAATTTGGCAAAACCCCCAAAGAAAATATTTCTGAAGAACGCAGGGAAAGGGCCCAGAAGATTATATCGTGTCCCCGTTCCCCACCGTCCCCCAGAAACTCGGCCACCAGGAAACATCCGTTCTAGACCAAACGATCTTTTTCAACCACGTGGCCACGCCAGCCACATCACTTCCAGCGACGGCCTCACGGTGTCCCTCGCCAGGTCACCTGGACGCCATCAGGATCATTCGATACGATGACGCAAACTCTAGGTGGCTGGGACCCTCCTCTCTCTGGGATCGTCCACGGCTTGGGGTGTATTGTGAACATGTGCGTCCGTCCCCTTGGGGGACGTCATTTTCCTGTCCTTTGTGTGTTTGGAATAGAGGTTTTTGCCGCTGCCTTGAAGGCCCATTGCACCTGCACCTTGTGCAGTGTGGTGCTACGGGGCGTCTCTCCTTCTCCGCACCTAAGGCTATTAACATGGCTACTGCACTTGACCTTGAGCCTCCTGTTACCAGGGAGACGGACACTTGTCCTAAAAGAAACCAGGAAAATAAGCGGGGATCTTTGAACAGCCAAACTGGCTTAGAATGGATTCGAAGTAACACAAATCGTCTTTAAATGGGAACCAGCAGCCCCAAAGCCCACGTTCTTAGTAAAGTGGCCGTTTCAGGGCAAGCAGAGTGGCCACAGTGACCCTGATCCTTGAATCCTTCAAACCTACAATTGAGAAGCGTCGTCCGCTGATCTACGCTGGAATATTTTGCGACTCGCTCAGTCCCTCGGAGCTCCGACTTCACGCGGGGCTGTGTTCGCTGTGGAATGAGGTCGCGTCCCCCTCGGTGTTTTCCGTCCTGTAGTCAGACGTCAGCGCTCAGCCACGGCGGTGGGACGAGACACGCTGCCCTGTCTGCTGGCTTGTCCAGGACGCACTGTTGACTGCTCCCTGCTCTAAAAATTGGCAAAATGACAGAAAACAGAACCCACATCCTTCCAGAGCTTACCTGTTTAGTGGACACAAGAATGGAGATAAAGGGGTGTCTGTGGGGGGTGGAGATGTGTGCGGGGTCCGGGAGGGCTGGACGTCGGCAGGGCAGGCCCGGCGGCTCCCTGGGGACACGTCAGTCCCCGCGGGGCAGCGGGCACAGCAGGAGCCCAGGCCCAGCAGTGGGGAGAAGTCAGGGTGGCTGGGGCAGGGTGGGGGGCAGGAGAGGGGGTCAGCGAAGTGTGGAGGAGACTTTGTTCTGAACAGGGGTCAGGGAAGGTTTGACCAGGAAGCTGCACCCTGGAGACGGGGAATGGGGACACCTGGGGGCCACCAGGAGATGATGTTTAAACCCTCAGGCACCAGTGAGGAGAGGCCGGTGTCCTGGGCAGGGTGATTTGGGGCCCATGGGAGGGAGGGGGGAGCTGGGAGGTGGAAGCCATCTGGAGCTGTGTGTGCCGTGGAGGGGGCTGGGGTGCCCAGGGCAGCGGACGGGGAGCAGGGCAGACCCACCGGGGGAGGAGGCGGAGGTCTCGGCCTGCCTGGGCCTCCCTCAGGGGCCACGGGGAGAAGCCCCAGACAGCACCAAATCCCCAAGCTCCCTCCAGCTCCCGTTTCCCTGGGAAAAGTTATTCTGAGCCAAACATGCTCGTTTCTCATGATTTAAATAGAAAACCGAAAGGTTCTGGGCGTGGTGCGGGGCCCAGGAGCTCACCCCAGACTCCCAGCCGCACCGTCTCTCGGGAACATTGGGGAAACAGGGGCGAAGTGTCTGCACCTTTGTGCACAAGCCTTTGGGACTCTGGGTCCAGGGAGACGCTCCCCTGGAGCCGGACTGGGCACGTGTCCTGTAGAAAACGCCGGGGGCGTGACTTCCGTGACCCGTGCGCGCCCCCCGGGCTCGCGCTCACGGAAGCACATCTACCAGTTGTTGACGTCTCTCCGAAGTGGGTCCCTCTGTGCGGAGTGTCCTGACCCTTCACTCCACGAAGACGGTGCGTTGCTAACGTCGGCTTCCTCTTCTCTCCCGACAGCCCCGAAAGGCAGCACAGAGAGCGCGGCTCGTAGACAGGTGAGTGTCCGCGTCTCACGGTTCAGTAGGAAGATGTGTCATACGGTTTTCTTTGCTCAGCAAACGTGTACAGTTTTAACTTTATAAATCCCACCGCGAAGCACGGACACCCGCGAGCCCGGCCAGGCTGACGCGGTGACCCCGGCGCGTGCCCAGACTTGCCAAGGGCCGGTGTCCTTGGGGACGCGGTGACCGGCTCTCGGGGGCCACCCTCTGTCCGACAAGCTCAGTCCAGAACGCGGCCTCGCTCTTCAGCCGTGTCCTGGGAAGAGACACCGAAGCCATTTCCCGCCTCTTTCCATGATGCCTGGATGGGGACCCTGCCCCCCGCCATTATTCCAGCGGCTGAGACCGTGGGACGCAGCCGAAAGTGTGAACCAGCTCAGACTCTTGCAGCAGTTGACGACCGGAAATCTTTCTCCCGAGAGTAAAGAGCACCAAGCCCCAGCGTGTTTTGTTGCAGGAGTCACCAGAGACAAGGGGGCGCAGCCGTGGGAATGGGGGTGCGGGAGCTAACGCTCATCACAGTGAGCTCTCTCTCCCCGGTTTCCACGTGACTCAGAGGGGCCAGAGGGCACCTCAGGCTGCGGTGGGTGTGCGTTTGATGCCGGTGCGGCCCCTCGTCCAACACCTCGGACCAGCCTCAGGAACGGTGACGCGCCTTGATAGCGTGTCCGCGTCCCCAAGTACTGAGAACAGACTGCACAGCTCCCTGCAGGGAGCCCTCCCCTGGCCCATCGCCTCCCTGCCCCTTCCTCCGGGAACAGAGTCGACCCAGAAACCTAAACGCCGAAGTGGAACCATTTCAAACAGTGGGACGGACGGAGCACGTCAGCGGGAGGCTGGGGCGCTGGGAGAGAAACGGGGAGGTGTGCCCGGCTCTTCCTGCTGCTTCTCCCCGGCCGGCTGAGCACAGGACCGAGCCGCGTGAACACGCATCTCATGTCGCGTTTCGTCTCGGAGCCGTGAGCCGTGACTGGAAAGAGCGAGAAGGTGAAGAAACGTGTCTGAGGCTGGAGCCTGCGCCAGGTTCTGTGTCTCCGCGGCGGGAGGCACTTCTGTGCCCATGTGGCTGCGGAGCAGGGCCGATCCCTCCCGGCGTCGGCCCCGCACCTCTGACCGTGCGCGGCGGGTGCTGTTAGGAGGCAGGTGCTGTGTGCGAGTCACCGCAGTCAGTCACCCGCCCGCTCTCTCCTGCGTGTGTCTTGAGCCCTTGCCCCTGGCCGTCTGCAGGCAGCTGCCACCTGCGCAGACGGGGGACGCACCCTTCTAACGACACCCCTTGTTTTGTCTCTTTTCCAGCAGAGGAACCAAGGATAAGTGACCGCAGCCGAGGCGCCGCTGGACGCGTGGGACACCCCTCACCAAAACGCAATTAAAAACACAGAAACAAAACACATAGTATTTTGCACTTTGTACTTTACATGTAAATTCACTCTGTAGAAACGAGATATTTAAACAAACTGCTTTAATCTGTGAAGGGGGGGCTCCGGCAGATCCGTCGCGTACCAAGTGTGTGACCCCTTTGACCTCGGACGTCTGCACCGGCGGCGCTGTCCCGGGCGGGTCCCAGCTCGCTCTCTGCCTGCGTGTGTCCCGCAGAGGTCGCGGCCTGGGGCTCCAGCCCGTGCCTCCTCCCTGGCCCCCTCCCCGCACAGCCCCCTGGGGTCCCTCTGGGAGCGCTGTGCCCCCCGTCCACACGAGAGGCCATCGATGTCCTCGAGCGCAGTCACCAGGCGCCCAGTCTGCGTGGTTGTGGGACTGGGTTTGTCTGTTTTGCTTTCCCGAGACCCAGCTCCCGCCACATTCACCACCACGGCTGCCAGCCGGTGACCGGGGTTCGGGGACAGTTCCCAACCACCTTTGTGTGCCTGCGTCCCCTGCGAGCTTGGGCTCAGGTCTATCCGGCCAGAGAGAGGCCTGCTGGCCCCAGGCTGCCGGAGGGGTCGGTGGCCAGAGAAGGAAATGGAGGCAGGCGTGGCCTCGTGTCTGCCTCTTTCCCCCTACACTGGCCTTACCCCCGCCCCACCCCGGGAGCCCTCGAAGGCAAAGCGTCGCCTGAACAGGTACAGTCCCCCCAGAGAAGAGGCAACCAGGGGGCTGTGCTCGGGGGGGTCCCACCTTGGCAGGTGGGGAGCTGTGCCCGTGGTTTCTGTTGTCATTCTGTCCGGAAGGGCATGAGAGCGTGTCCCTGGGAAAGTCCTCTGGGTGGGAGTTGGGAGGCACCGGTCAGGGATGGACACTCACACTGCAGTCACAGGACAGCCCGCCGCCCAGCCAGGGGCCACTGTCAGGGCCGGATGGCCGTCCCTGAGCGGCCACAGCTCCGGCCCCCGAGAGGACGGCGGGAGCGTGCGGCCCCCGTGCGGCTGTCTCAGCTCCGAGATTCGGTTGGAAAAACACCTTTGTGACCCCCCCGCCCCCCAGCATGTCGTGGACGGTGGTCCTGTGACCGCGCAGAGACACGCCCTGAGGCCTCTTCCTTATTTAAACTGTGCGAAGTCAGAGCTGGGATTCCAGAGCCAAGACCAGCGCCAGCGCCACCGACCCTTAGAAACAGTTGTGCCCTAAAGTTACTGGATAATCTTCATGTTTCTGAACTTTGAATTTAATCATTTTTCTTAGATCGAAATAAAACATGCTATCAAAACTTGTCTTTTCTTTCTGGCTAAATACAGTCTTATAATTGCTTGATTTTAGGGTGTCTGTCAGCGGGGAGGCACGGGCAGGACTCGGGCCGGGATGTACTGGGGTCTGGCTCCCCGGGCAGCTGTGTGGCTTTGGTGGGGTTACTGGACCTGTTCTGCTTTCTTTCCCCACGTCCGTGTGACGAACCCGTTTGGGGAAACAGCTTGTGCTCAGTACGTCCCAGCCCAGCCCCGTGGACCTGCTGCCCGATGCCCGGGGGACCCTAGAAGAACCCGCTGTCCCAGGCCGCCCACTCCAGACCTCCCGTGGCCCCTTCCTGTCCTCCGGCCCGGGGTCGGTCTGGCTCCAGCCCCTGTGTCCCCGGGGCCGTGGCGGTAGCGCTCCTCCCGTGGCACTGAGGTGTGAGTGACATGACGCGTGGCTTCCGTTGTGGAATGATCGCCACGCGTCTCCACCACGTCCATCATCACACACACAGAGAAGGGTTTCCCGGTGCTGAGAATGTCTAGGAGCTGCTTCCCGAGCCCCTGCGCCAAAGCAGTGTCGACGCCAGGCTCCGCCCTGTGCCTTCCCGCCCGAGCCCCCAGGCTGGCCAGGCTCCCCCAGGATTCGGCACCCCTCCCTGAACTGATGGTGATGGTGATGGTGATGATGGTGAAAAGGGGTCTTTGTAAACCCAACCAATCTCCACATGTCCGTCTGCAGCAAGGATGACCCTGGAAGCAGAGTTAGGAGGAAGGCGGCTGTCGGGAAGGCCTCTGGGGAAGGTGGGCGGGACGGGCTCCAGGCAGATGGCGGAGGTAAGATGCTCAGGAGGCTGAGGGTTTGCCGGCAGGCGGGAGGGGGTGCCCATGGGCTGAGAGCCAGTACACGGGCAGCCGCAGCTGGTTCTCATTGCCTGGCATTAGAATTCAAATCTAAAGCAGAAATCTGTGTCCCTCACATCCCTGGTGCAGCTGGTTCTGGTGATCGATGCCTCCCCCCCGAGTCCCCCCTTCCCCGTTTGAAAGCCTCTCCTGATCCTTGTCAAAAATCTCCAAGTTGGACATTATTTACAAGTGTCCCGACCAGCTCATCAATCATGCCATGATGTTACTTACACCCAGACTTTTTTTTAAGGTGAAAGGTGTCAGCGTTTTTGTAATCAACATGTAGAAAGAACTGGCGTGATCTTACTCTGCCAAGTGGACAAGCAAAAAGCGCAGCCTACAAAGCTGCCCCCAGAGGAACTGGGAACACACAGCAGCACTTCAGGCCTGTGAGGACAGGGCGGTGGAAACGGAAACGGTGATGATGACGAAGGTGGAAATGATGGCGATGGTGGTGATGATGATGGTGGTGATGGTGGTAATGATGATGGTGATGATGGTGGTGATGATGGTGATGGTGATGGTAGTGATGATGATGATGGTGATGACGATGGTGATGATGATGATGGTGATGGTGATGACGATGATGGTGATGGTGATGGTGATGACGATGGTGATGATGATGATGATGGTGGTGATGATGATGATGATGGTGGTGGTGGTGATGGTGATGATGATGATGGTGGTGATGATGATGATGGTGGTGGTGATGATGGTGGTGATGATGGTGATGGTGGTGATGATGATGATGGTGGTGATGATGGTGATGGTGATGATGGTGGTGATGATGATGATGGTGGTGATGATGGTGGTGGTGATGGTGATGATGATGATGGTGGTGATGATGATGATGGTGATGATGATGATGGTGATGATGATGGTGATGGTGATGATGGTGATGATGATGATGGTGGTGATGATGGTGGTGGTGATGGTGATGATGATGATGGTGGTGATGATGATGATGGTGGTGATGATGATGATGGTGGTGATGATGATGATGGTGGTGATGATGATGGTGATGATGGTGATGGTGATGATGGTGGTGATGATGGTGATGGTGGTGATGATGGTGATGGTGATGATGGTGGTGATGATGATGATGGTGGTGATGATGATGATGGTGGTTATGATGATGATGGTGATGATGGCGATGGTGGTGATGATGATGATGGGGGTGATGATGGTGATGGTGGTGATGGTGGTGATGATGGTGGTGATGATGGTGATGGTGGTGATGATGGTGATGATGGAGATGATGGTGATGATGGTGGTGATGGTGATGATGGTGATGGTGATGGTGATGAGAATAGTGGTAATGGTGATAATTACGTTTTTTTTTCCTCTACCAACACACACTACTACATAGACCAAAATTTGGAAAACAGTTTGACTAATTAGATAGTCATTTTTGGTATTTCTTCAATCTAAGAAATGGTGCTAGCTCTCTCTTACTATAGTACAGGAAACAAGCCACCCCAAAACTTCATGGCTTAACACCACTTGTTTATTCTTGTTCACACGTCTGTGTCGGGGTGGGTTCACCAGTCTGGTCTGGGTGCAGGTCTGCCTCAGTCCCGCCCTCTAGGACGAATGGGTCATCTGGGCATGGTCTCTGCATTGGCTGTGCCCGGAGCAGGGGTACATTTCAATCCTTGGCTTGTGACCTGTGTGCCAATGTCCACTGGCAGGGCCTGTCACCTGGTTTAGAGCAAGTCACGGGCAGGGTAGTGGGTGTGCCCACCAGGGGGCCATGGCAGCTCTGGGCACAGAATGCTGCTTACTGACTCCCCAGCCAAACTGCGGCCGAGCCCATGCACGTGTCCTGAACTTCCTGTTCACAGAGCCACGCAGTGGTGCGACCGAATGGGCAGGAGGGGATGCGTGTCTGTGTGCCGCGGAGGGCACAGGAAGCCGAACACCCTTCCTGAACGTGCACACTCACCCACCGGTTCCTTGAGGCTCAGCCTGTGGCTTGAACAGTTATCCCCAGAGCACACGCTGGGGGAGGCACAGACACCACGGCCCACACGGATGGGTGGAGAGAGCCCTCACCCAGCGAACATCGGACACGCTGAGGATGCACTGTGAGAGCCCTCCACGCCCTCCCCTCTCTAGGTTCAGTTGTAGTTTGACTCTTCCAAAAACATTTGCCCGGAAAATATGTCCACTAAATGAAATATTGGAACATGAATTACATCTTGTCATTAATTACCATTATCAAGACATACTCCAGCGTAAGGACAGAAACAAAGACGGAAGCCAGCTGGGAGGAGGGGGGCAGAGGCGTCCGTGCCGGCTGGAGCTCCGAGTCGCGGCCCCTGGAGCGGGTCCTTCTCGCCTGGTCACAGAGCCGGGATGGGGCAGCATTCTGACCTCAGGGGTGTCCACCTGCGTCCATCACGTTGATGATTCTTTCAGGCACATTTTAAACATGCTCACCTCTTGCTGCCTAAAACCCATCATTGCTAGAACTCTCTCCTCTGGCTTGTTTGCTTTGGTCGCAGCTGCCTCACTACATTGGTGGGACGGGTTTGGACCCCGACAGGCCCGCGGAGCTGTGAGCACGCTGTTCCCTGTATGTCCGACACGGACGCCTCGACCTAATTCTCTCTTTCAAGTTCAAGGGCCCACGTGCCAAGTGAAGCTTCCACTCCAGACACGACACGTAGATCCAGTTTTCAGTAAAATCATCTATGTCCTCGACTTGTCGCCTTGGCCACCATTTCAAACCCCTCAGACCAGCGAAGCGTCTGTACGTCAGTTCCCATCAGATGAAGACCTTTCTTGGGGATCAAACGTACATGTTTCCTCTCCCCGAGTTTATTTCCTTCAGTTACGTCTCAGTTAACAGAAATTCTTTCCTTTCGACTTTTTGATTGTTCGTGTTCTTACCGTGACACAGAAATGCCACTGAACACGTTTGAGGCGGACACGCTGTCCTTGTGCCCGTCGGTCTTCCGCGCTGAGCAGTTTCGCGGAGCCGGCGTCCGGGGCCCGAGGCCTGGCGACTGCCCTCCGGCTCGTCACTTTGGTGGCGTGCCCACTGACCAAGAAAGGAGCTCCTTCCTGGGAACAAGCTTGGAGGGAAGCTGGTGACCTCCAGGGCGCGGAGATGTCCGTCCATTACCACCCGCTGGCTGTGAGCCACAGTGTCCTGTTTGATTACAAACTGGACGCATGTTCGA